CCATGGCCTCCTTTATTGTCCAAGATGGGATTAATTAGATCTCGTACAGACCTTCTTGAACAACTTGAACATATACAGGCGGAGCCACCAGATGCTACTCCAGCTGTTTCTGCAGTGATACTTGATGGCCCCATGATTGTGCAGATGCTTCATCCCAGAACATCCATAATGTTTCAAGTCGATATCCAGAATGTATTTCTGCCATACATGTTCCAGTATCTTGAACAACAGGACAGACAGATATTCTTTGGGACACCTAAACGTACAGCCTTAAAGCATTCACCATAGAAAAAGGTGGCAAGGGTCTAAGAAGAATAGTCAAAGCATCATCACTTGTGCGAAGTAACTGAGAAAGCTTCTTCTCAGTTAATGAGAACAAAGATGAGCTTTTGGCATTGCATGCTGAACAGGTTTCTTCAACATAATTTGAAGGAAAACAAATTTACAGCACCCTTGAGACAAGAGTTGTAACCTCTCCTGAAACAGCTGACAGAAGAGTCCATGAAGAAGCCCACACTCGTCTTGTATTGCAATATCTGCTGCTTCACGTGGTGCGCTAAAACGGTGCTGATTAGTACTGCTTACACAGACGTTGTTGTCATAACGAGAACAAACATTCAACAGATACCTTCAGAGTATGGATATCATTTGGCCTAGGCAAGCACAAAGGATACATAGCTGCACATTAAATTGGAACTACCCTCTTTCCATCAAAATAAAAGGCATTGTCAGTATTGCATGCCTTCACCAATTGCGATGTAACTTCATTTTTTTTTGCCGGGATCGTGAAGAAAACTGCTTAGGATACTTGGAATGTATATCCTGAAGTCACCAAGCATTCCTGTCACTGGCAGATGCCCCAGTAGATACCTGTATTGTATTTTATCTGACAACGCAATGCAATTCCTTGAGCTGTTTGTCATTCTTTTATATGACAGAACTATGACTTGGAACGTCAGTCAGACAAAGACAAACAGACACAGGCAACCCTAAAACAACACACATTACAGGAAGGTCAGGTGCATCTCTGCCACGTCCTGCAGACTGGGGTTGGAAGTTGACATGTGATAAAACATGGATACCATAGTGGACAACGCTAGGTCAGGCTTTGTGCAGTTGTGAAGGAAAGTGTTTCCAGTGAATGAGTTTAGTTTTACGCCGCACTCAGCAATATTCCAGCTATATGGCGGCGGTTTGTAAATAATCATGTCTGGACCAGACAATCCAGTGATCAACACCGTGAGCATCGGTCATGTATTATATTCTTCTGATGAAATTTACGCAATCACAGAGAAATAGTTTCTTTTCTTACAATCTGGAAAGTACGTTTTAAATAACCACCTTACTTTGTTTAAGATATGGCCAGGAATATCAGTACAATACATCTTTCTACAGTTTCAATATTCATGATCAGTCACTGGAAACAGACCGATGAAGGTCCGAGTTAGAATATTGATCTTCAGTAACCTATGCTTATCGTAAGAGGCGACTAACGGGATCGGCTGGTCAGGCTCGCTGACATGGTTGACACATGTCATCGGTTCCCAATTGCGCTGATGGATGCTCATGCTGTTGATCACTGGATTGTCTGGTCCAGGTTCGATTATTTACAGACCGCCGCCATATAGCTGGAATATTGCGTGTGGCGAAGAACTAAACTCACTCACTCACTAATAATACAACAGAATCGTTTACTTGCAAATAAGTACTGCATTATATTGTTCTCTGAAACTTTGCATTTGTAAAATACTTACCGGAATACTTCTTACATTATAAAGCATAATACCAACAGATCATACACAAGAGTGCACAAATATATACATTCATTTGTTGCTACTTAAAATGTCTTTTTCAAAATATTTTAAATATATCAGTATAACAAGGCAATTTCTGAATATTTTGGCGGCCATCTTGGATTTTCATCACCACCTGTGTAATAAATTGGGAATATGTACCTCACTGTTCCAATTAATCCTCTATGAAATACGAAATTTGACAAGATAATTATGATATATTGAACATCGATTGCGTTTTAGTCGAAATGGCGGCCATCTTGGATTTTCTGCCACCAGGGGGCACTGCTGAGGTGGATCCATATCCAGAAATGTTCGGAATAGTTCAATATATGAGTGTGCCAAGTTTGGTGCTTTTAACCCAAAGTGCACAATTTTTACCTTAACCGCCCCACTATATGTGGAGAACGCCATGATGAATTAACGTGACAAGTTAATCGTAGACTATCTGCCCTAATGCCCCTATTCCACACAGACCACGAATCCCACGAATTGCCACGAATTGACAAATTTGAGTATTCGTAGTTGAATCGTAATCAGTTTGCGAAGTTCTTAACTAACTCGTAATATAGTCGTAGTCAGTTCTTGCAGTTCTTGAGTAATCGGGAATTCGTGGCAAAAGTTTTGAACTGTTCAAAATTTTGGCCACGAACTCCCGATTAAAAATAATCGTAGTTAATTCGTAACAAATTCGTAGTGCATTCTTAGGCATCGTAACCAAATCGTAATCAATTATTAGGTATTCTTAACTCATTCGTGTATTCGTCAGTTCGTGGTTTGACCACGAATCGGCTACGAATCTGTAAGGAATCTCACAAATTCACGCCGAAGCAGTTACGAAGCAAGTAAGAACTACCTACGAATGAGCTATGACATTAAATTGGGTATATAAGGAGTTTAACATTCACTTCCGGTCATTAGCTGCTGACGATTGTGCCACGTATCAACGTATTAGAAAGATGCCAAGAAAAGCTGCAAGTAAGGGCAAGGGGAGAGGGAAGAGAAGCAAGAGAACCAGGGAAGAGGGAGAAGAAGGCAGCACATCACCCCCAACCCCCACAAGAGTAGCTACCCCTCCACTGGAAGATGAACCAGCTCCAGAAGTGGAAAACAATGTGGCAGATTCAGCAGCTCAGTCAGTGGGTGGTGAGTCAGTGGCTGGTGATGTTGGTGGTGTTGGTGATGATGAACTAGCAGCTTCTTTCCCAGTATAAGAGTAAGAAAGCCAGGTTCTTATCCAGCCTCACAGAGGGACGAACAAGAGGATGTGGCCCTCTTCCTTGAGAGGAATGACTTCATCTGCAACAAGAGGCGGTTAGACCACCTCTGTGTCTCTAAAAAGAATAAGGCGTGGGAAGATCTGGCCCAGGAGATGGGGAAGGAGATGAAGGCACTGACTACATTTTTTGAGAGCATCCGTACCCAGATAGGGAAACTCAGGAGGAAGAAGAGTGGTCAGGCATCTGTTGAGATGACAGACCGCCAACAGTGGATATGGACCAGATTCCAGTTCCTGATGCCCCACATCGGACATGTCACCCAACGCATAGTCCAGAGCTTCCGGAGTGGCGCCACCACCAGCCAGTGTGATGAGTTCCAGGAGCCACAGTATCCAGTGACCACCACACCGTCCACCACCACTTCCGGGAAAACGAGTGTGACCGTGTCCAGCACCAGCGGATCCAGAGGCAAAATAATGGGGGCCGAAACCCAGACCAGGAGCTGCACACCTGCAAGGACCGTCAGGAGAAGCTGTTACAGATCCTGCAAGCGCCTTCTGTGCCTGAGGTCCCCCATCCAGAGAGGTTAAAGTTCGCGGAGTACCTCGGGCATGCTTTCCAGAACCTACCCCAGTCAATCTACCGTGACGTACAGAAGGCCATGTTTGACCTTCTGTTCAACGCTGAGAAGCAGGCAGATCTGGAAGCAGGAAGGTCAGCACCAGCACCTCCTCAACTGTACCAGCAGTGGCAGCGAGACCCCTCGCAGTGGCAGTCAAGACCGGTGGCCCCAGCTGGGTCGGTGTGGCACTCACAGGATACAGCCAGTCTCCAAGCCAACAGGAACTGCCCCGTCAAAGGTCATCACAGACAGCTACCTACACAAACCTGGTGCCTCCTGCCCAGAGCCAGCAGCCCCGGTCGTCCTCCAGTGCCTCGGAGCATCAGCAGGAAGCATCATTCAACCTGTCTGAGATACTGATGGACATCAGCCCCACAGCAGTTGCCACTCGGGTCACAGATCTCGACGGCAACCGCTCAGCTTGACAGGTCCACTCTCTCCACTCCATAGACTGTGTGTTTACCTGTGTACATCTTAGACTGTGTGCTTTTAGCTGGGAGCTCTTAGTGTTATGTCTAAAAAATTCCTCTCAAAAGAGTTTATGTTTTGTTTGATATGATATGATTATGATATGAATGTACTTAGATAAGCATTTCTATCTTTCAGTTTCATATAATACCAATAAAACTTGAAAAAGATATAAAAAGAATAAAGTTTGTTTTGTTTGCATGGTCCGAGCAGAGATATTGAGAGATGGATTGGGGCAATGTGAAGATTACCAAAAACAAAACATTCATGACATAAAGCAGAAATTCTAAGATAGTGAAGGAGGGAGCTGTTGTGCCCAGTAGTCAGTAAGAGCAATACAAGCCCTCTCTGGGTCTCTTGTTTTCATAAACATTTTATTAGCGCTAATGAGCATTAATAAACACTATTAACATAATTTTAGCATGAAATATCAAGCATTTATCATTCAGTTAACATTCACTCCTGCCTGTCTGTCTTGCCACGGAACTGAACCTGCTTCACTGTTAAAGTAGGCCTTAAGATAGTTTCTCATCACTTTTGCCCTCACGATTGTCTCTGTTGGGTGACTGGAACTGGGGTATCTCCTCCTCCACCTGTTGGTCTGCCCTCCAGGCACCAGGGATGTTGTTGTGGTCCTCATCCTCCCGGTCCACATCTGCATTGCCGATAGCAGGGGAATCTGATCCCAGTAGGTTGTGAGGATGACTCCTGTCTCCACCAGTAGCCGCACCACATCAGGTCCTTGTTCCAGGGTGCCCAGGAAGCATCTCCATCTGTTGGCCAGTATTCCGAAACCATTCTCCACCACACGTCTGCCCCTTGGATAATCTGTAGTTGGCCACCAGCATGTCATTGTCCAGACCCCTCCTGCCATAGGGTTTCATGAGAGAAAAGTCCTCAGAGGAAAAGCATCATCCCCCAGGATGTAGTAGGGTGTGTCTCTGTCATCATTGGGCAGGGATCGCTGTCCGGGAAGTTTATGGTGTTGTCATCAATGGACTCTTTCAGTTCTGAAGCACCAAACAGCTGTGCGTCGGATTGATGACCTTCTCCACCAGTGTCTATCCAGATGAATTTATAGTCCGCATCCACCAGGGCCATCAGCACCACAGAGAAAAAACCTTTGTAGTTGAAGAACACACTGCCTGAGTTGTGTGGTTTCCTGATGGCTATGTGCTTGCCATCCAAGGCCCCCAGGGCATGAGGAACATTCCACCGATATTGGAACTGCTGGGCAATGTCTTTCCAGTCCTCCTGGGTCCTTGGCAGTGGCATGACTTCATCCTTCAGCTCCTGTATGATGGCCTGACAGACTTCCTGCACAATCCATACCACTGTGCTGTAGCCACACCGGAAGTCATACTGGATGGTGTGATACTGGTCTCCTGTAGCCAGGTGTCTGAGAGTCATGGCTAGCTTCATTCCGGCATCTAGGGCTGGTCTCATATGGGTGTCCCTCCTCTGGATGACTGGGCTAATCCTGTTGAGGAGCTCATCAAACAAAATAATAATAATAATAATAGTCCATTTATATTGCGCGTTTATCCATGCACATTGCATGCTCAAAGCGCTGACATATTACCCCTGGTCAACGAGTACAGAACACTCCATGTGGAGAATACAACCGGTCGCCTGTCAGGCGCTCAAGGTTCAAATTCAGACTACCATCGTATCATACCAGGAACCCAATTTTACTGCTGGGTGGACAGGGGCAATTTTGAACAAACTCACTTGCCTAAGGTGAGACCACATGCGTCACATGTGATTCGTTGTGGGGTAGGACTGAAGTCCTAGAAACTTTCAGGAGTCAAACTGCCAAACACGGTCACCCATCCGAGGACTGTCCGCGACCAACGTTGCTTAACTTCAACTGATTGTGACCTGAGCTCTACGCACAGGACCACACACCGCCACATGTGGGGTGGCATTCTCACATAGTGGCAAATGCATTCTCATCTTCCATCCTCAGCTCTTGAATCAGTCTGTTGTAGTGACCATATTCTAGTCTTCTATCTGGTGTCAGCCACGGTCTAACCCACCACCTGGGTGCTCTTCTCCTCCTTCGAAAAGTCTTCTTATAGTGATCAGCTGCTGGTGTTGATACTCCAGTTCCAGGGCCAATACGACAGCTGCTCTACGTTGAACATCCATTTTGGAACTGATACCCAAACAAGGGTGACGACCCTTTTATACCTATCTCCCACGAATTGTCAAGAGTAGTCACGAATTCATTTATTCGTACCCGATTCGTACGTGCATTCGGCCTATTCTAAGCTGATTCGTAACTGATTCCTAATATTCGGGCAGTGTTCGTAATATATTCTTGTAAATCGTAGTGAATTCTTCACCATATGCGTGCGATTCCAGCCGAATCCCACGAATATTCGTACCTGTATCGTACCTGTATCGTAAATGAATCGTAGAGTTTCACGAATGGACGCAGAAAAGTTGTACAATTCCACGAATCAGCACGAATTCTCACGAATCCTCAAATTTATCAATTCGTGGCGATTCGTGGGATTCGTGGTCTGTGTGGAATAGGGGCATTATTAGGGACCGTTCATAATTTATGGCTAGGGATGTGATGATGATTTGTAATTTGTGTGTGCGTGTGTGTGTGTGTGTGTGTGTGTGTGTGAGAGATGAGGTATGTTGCGTTTTTCTGGGGAGCTAGGGGGGTATCAATTTTGTACACACCTACTTGGGGGTGGGGGTCAGGAATTTTGTACATAAAAATATGTAAAAATTATGTTTAGAAATTATGGGAAGGGAGGGGTTTTGTACATTGATTTTTTGTACATAACCTTTATTGGGGTGCGGGGACGTATTTGTACATGCTTCTCCTTAAATCATCACCATCAACCCCACCCCCACCCCTAGCCATAAATTATGAGCGGTCCCTTATAATGTCTACTTAAATCGTCATCATACAGATGACTAAGGAGCTGTAAGTAGTTATATCTGCTTTAGCTTCGACATATGATACCGCCACTGATTAGGGACCGTTCATAATTTATGGCGGTGGAGGTGAGGTGGGTGGGGTGATGATGGGGTTTTCTTTGATGGGAGGTAGGAGGGTCAGCAATTTTGTACACATGTTCTACTAGGGGGGATTTTGTACATAAAAATATAATACAATTATGCTTAAAACCTTATGGGAAAGGGGTTGTCATGATTTTGTATGATATGCAAGGAGGGGGTCACTTTTTGTACTTTTTCTGCATACGTAAATTTTCTGCATAAAATCACAATCACACACACACACACACACACACCATAAATACACACACCTTAAAATGCACGGTCCCTTAAAGAGAAAAGTTTCTTTGAAAGTAAAAAGCGAACATATCATATGTTTTACATGTTTACAGGATATCAAAAAACATTTTGTTTGAAAAGACATCTATCAGAAGGTTACTGTCACGTTCTACAAGACGGACCCTATCTGTTGCACCGTTGCTTCCAAGTGATGAAGCGTTAGAGGATCTCTCTGCATAACGCGACAATCCTGATTCACCTGGATTATGTTTCCAGATTGTCAGGGCCATACCCATCAAGAACAGCATCATTTTGGGCTTTTCTTTGGCACCAAGCTACATGCAGCGATATAACTGATATATCTTCCAGCAGTATTGGACCAAACGCTCTGACCCACCACTTCATGAGATTGCGTGGACAACATCATCGAGAACAATAGAATGTACATTGTGAACAAGCATTCTTAAAGATGTTGGATTTTGGAAATTTTCCTGTTACAGCAGAAATTTGAAACAGATTATGTAAGTCTGAGAACCGCATTTAGAAGTGATACACATGACGGCAAGTATTAATTCAACTTTTTCATTTTGAGTAACACCTGTTTTAGGGTATTCTTACTCCGGTTTTGTCTCTATTCGCCTACATCTTAATTCGCCTTCAACCCATATCACATACAAAAACAATGTAGGCTAATTGGGATTAGAAAATGCACCCCCATACTCTTATAATGAGCCTGACTCACTGGTCAGGGCCATACTAATGTTGATCGACTGTTGTAAGGAGATGTTGAGTAGAGATGATTAGCATCCACTAAGAAGTTACAACCGGGTTATAATAACATGAAAGGGACCAGATGTATCCTGTTGCCTTTTCCCTACTTCCCAGCAAATTCTGTGACACATATATCAGACTGTTTACTCACTTAAAGGATAAAGGATATCGTGTCCGGAACCAGCATGGAAATACAGGACTCAGAAGCAATAATCATTTGGAGGTTTTTCACAATGGAAACATCTGTCCGCCCAAGGTCAAGGATCTATCGAAACCTGGAGAGTCTTTAGGATAGACTTCGCGAGCAACTTGCTTCTGGAAGAAGATCAACCCTTCAGTTCCTCGACGCGGCTGGCCACCTTGTCAAGTTGAAGTGAGAATGGACATCCCTGCAAGTGAACTTTCTCAATACTGATGTCATATGATGTGATGATATGATGATATGATGTGATATATGATAAATGAATTATCATTTCATTGTGATCAGAAAATGATATGATGTGATATATGATAAATAAATTATCATTTCACTATGATCATAAAATATGATGTGATATATGAGAATAAAATTATCATTTCATTGTGATCAGAAAATTATATATGATATATGATAAATAAATTATCATTTCATTGTGATAAGAAAATGACAGGTAACAGAAATAAATAAATTCTTTTTGTCCTTCAACTACTTCAACTAGAAGAGTCCACTTACAGATCATAGGGTGACACTAGTTTATCATTGCATAATCAACAGTCAACAGACCATGAAATATTGTTTTAAGGCAGTAGGCGAATTGGGATGAAGGCGAATAGAGAACACACCCTTACTCCTTCATTAATTGGGGGCGGTGGGGTAGCCTAGTGGTTAAAGCGTTGCTCGTCACACCGAAGACCCGGGTTCGAATCCCCACATGGGTACAATGTGTGAAGCATATTTCTGGTGTCCCCCGCCGTGATGTTGCTGGAATATTGCTAAAAGCGGCATAAAACCAAACTCAGTCAGTCAGTCAGCCTTCATTAATTACTAGCTTCCCTTGCTGTTATCTTATCATCGTTGTTGTTTTATATGTACTTATGTAGCATGTACTTATATAGGTTTCCTATTTTTTTCCATTCACCTGATAAAGGAACAAGACTATACTCCGACTAATTATTTTCTGTCTATTTGTATTTAATCATCAAGATTCATGACAGCGAGATGTAACCCAGGCGGACTGATGTTCAAGAACCATTCCGTTCATTGCAGAAAACATCACAAAATCACTAGAAGAATATTGAGGTTGTATCTCAGCTTCAAATAGATCAAAGGACCGTGTACATATAATTTGAAGTTCCATGCGGAAAAGGTTGGTTTTTAAACGTTTATTAATTTTTGAGTGTAGAATCCAACATGCTTGTTTATTATTTTACGCCGCACTCAGCAATATTCCAGCTATATGATGGTGGTCTGTAAATAATCGAATCTGGACCAGACAATCCAGTGATCAACAGCATGAGCGTCGATCTACGCAACTGGGATACGATGACATGTGTCAACCAAGTCAGCAGGATCGAACATGACTTCAGATGGTACCGTGTGGTCGGGTCACGTTTTGAAGCGCAACTAAATAACTCAGATCGCAGACCCCTAGTCCCAGAATATAAAATGGTCGTTCCTTATCTCCTAAAATTAGGTATATTAAGTCTGAGAAAACGAATGTCAAGATCAATTACTGAAATACTTTAATAAGAAATAGTTTGTAGGTATATGTATACTTTCTTTGTGTATATAAAAAACAATGGGTTTATTGTTCTGTGTATCATAGTTCTAAAATACGTCATATTTTCCTCAATCTTATATAAATAATTGTGACTTTATAAAATAGGACTAAACAGCACATGTTGTATATTTTATTCAATAACGAGAATACTAAACGCTGTCTCAGTTAGTGTTGATCTTCATTTTCCAAGTTGTAAGATAATTAGCATTATGTGTTAAGCTTTAAGACTACATGCATGGTCCGGCCCAAGTCTATAATCTGTCAGTATCGATATACGCTCGTCTTCATTCCCAAGTTTTCTTGATAAGCCTTATGTGCTAACTGTTAAGACGACATGTCCGGAGAGAGAAGTAAACATTACTCTATGATAACACGCTCTCCGAGAAAACTGTTAGATAAATTTGGTCATTTCTGCACTCTCAAGTCTTTCAAAGCTACGAGGTAATCTTAAGATTTAGTCAGCAGTGTAGATTAGCAGCATTTGTAAGTATTGTTTAAATAAGTGACCATTGAACGCGCGACCATATCACAAACTCTGAGAGCATCGGTGGTATATATAACGGCCTTTATTCGGGATATTTCACTCATGAAATGCACCGAATAAAGACTGGCCACTAATCGATGCTTCTCTTGGTTATTTGAAGGTAAGCCATGTTCAATTCATTCATTGTATGTTCTTAAATTATGTTCATATTTTCTGTTTTCTATTACGTTCCATACCGTTAGTTTATGCCAATATCATCATTTAAACTATGCAGTATTGAATAAGTACAACAAGGAATATCTGTATCATAGTTGTGTCAGACCATGTAGAACAAATCTAACAATCTTACATCAAAATAGTTTACAGTATAATGTAGTGACGTTAAGACATAATATAGGTTCAGTATATCACAATTACATATGATTGGGCTCGTGGAAGCAAAGCAATTCTTGCGCACGTGTTGTATATTTGATTGCGTGTTTGCAATGAAAGTGAATGTCAGTGAATGTATTTCTAAATGATTATTATATGTGTTTAACTCAAATGTTCCATGCTACCTTTCATCAACCAATGTTTAAACAATGTACATATTATGTGAGGTTACAATACGGTACACGCAAAACTACTGAGCGCACATAAACATTGTTGTTTCATTCTGTTGCTCACATATTGCTACGTTCTCAGTACTGTAAAGGTTTAAGTATGTATATGTGTACTTATTCAATAACATGCCGTTCGGCATATGATCTTTAGTAATTCGCGACCGTCTAGATATTCAGATGTGGTCATATGATTCAACTAGCAGACTGAACATTTATATTATTTGTGTATTCTTATTATTCTGCTTAGGTTGTATTCTGTTGGGATGTAGCAAACTATATAACGCCTATCATTTACGACTTCCATAGAAGATTATTTTAGCAATTGATAGCACATGTACTAAGTGTCTTACTGAACAGTTACCTCATCATTCTCTACGCATATTTCTCAGCTGCGCTACATCATGTGTATTATGTTTCCAATATAATATGAAGTGTCCTCACTTCCGTTTAATCTTGGTCACTGTTTATTGTAAGGTATATTGTCAGTAAGGTTTATGTAATTATTAATTCACATGATTTTCATATTATGTATTAATTGTCCAAGTTTGAAATGCTGATGTTTTATATAATTCACTCATGAAATGCACCGAATAAAGACTGGCCACTAATCGATGCTTCTCTTGGTTATTTGAAGGTGTTGCGGTCCCAAGCTAATTCCCCGACAACAAATTCTAGGTATTATAATTATCCTAGACCAAATATAAACCCTAAAAAGGTTACTATAATGTCAAGGTTATTATATGTGTAATACATAACATTCAGGTTGAATGTATGACAGTAACATGTTGCCGTGAACATGTAGATCTGCAACACCCTTCTCAACTGAAAGAAAAATGGAAACACTTGAAATAACTGTTGTTTCAAACAGGAATGACAGACATCTGTTCTTCAACCTCAGAGAAGGCTGGTCAGTACTGGCGAGAACTACTCGGTGGTAGGAGTGTTTTGTTGATGGTTTAACCGGAAGCACGCACGACAGACAGCGAGATATTTCTCTGGGCCTCCAATCAACACGACCTGGTAACATAACATCATAGATTTAGCGTTATCAATGTATATATTGGGAGTAATTTTGTGTGTGGATTGTTTTAACCTACTCGCACAAAGTTAGAGCCTTGAACTAAAAGTGACAAAAAACCTTTGTTACGACGTAAATTGTAATAAAAACGTAAATTGCAATACTTGCAGCAAATTGTAATAAACCTTGACGTAAATTGTAATAAAAACTGACGTAAATTGTAATACGCAAATTGTAATAAAAATTGACGTAAATTGTAATAATTTTAGTTGCGGTAAAATGTAATAAATATTTACGTAAATTGTAATAACAGTTTTAATCATTCGTAAATACGCGTGCGTTTGTTTTTCGTTGACATTTCAGACATCATATAAACTTGTTAACTCCAGAAAGAAATGATGGATTTTGTTCAAATTTGGTACCAAGGTGTCGTGGCGAGATTCACCGACACCAGTTGAATTTAGTGACCTTGAGATAACTTGCAAGGTCACAGCAAAAATCTGAGGGTTTTGCCAATATAAAAATTGTTAGCGCGATAACTCAAGAAAGAACTGAGAATTTTTGCTTAAAAGTGGTACCCAGGTGCGTTTGAACGATGTGCGGACGCCAGATGAACTGGGCGACCTTCAGATTGATAAATACTTATGGAAAATATAATAACCGTAGTATCAAGGGTGCTCTTAGCTAAATGACGAAAAATGATATTCGTCCGGATATATAATCGTTATAAAATCTCCAAATGTCCTCTAAATCATGTTTTTTGGGCAATTATCTGTTGAGGTTTTAATATGTAAACATATACAGGGGCCGGGGGGATTCTAACGGGTATATCTAACACACTGATGCATGTAGAGATGGGGGTGGTGTAGTGTTCTAACGGGTATATCTACGAGGGGCGTCCAAAAAGTAGTCAGACTCACCTAGAATATGATACAGATGCAGCTGTTCTTAGGTTTTATTTTTCTACATATTATCTGTCAACCACAAGCAAATTTGTTTTGCTATGTTTCAGCCTCAAGATCCCAATTTTGTTTCACTATTTATCTTGGTACTCGCACAAAATGCAAAATCTGCAATAAATGCATCACAAACTTCAGGAAACAAAATGTGCAAGTGAGTGAGTTAAAATTTTACGTCACATCGGCAATATTTCAGCCATATCGACGACAAAAAGGTATGTACTAAGAATAAATATATATAGACTATTATATACTTTTTAATAAACTGTCAGCGAAGGACAGTATAACGACAATCGTATCACACATTAATAAAATCTAGTTTGAGTTCAGTGTAAAATGCTAAATCATTTCAAAACAACACAATATAAAATCGGGCTATAGATCGCCAGCAACTGAAGGTAGATCACCATGCTAGGGACCATGGGGACGTACGTTACTTTTGCTACCTGCATGGCCCCTATCTGGATTTGACGAATTTTGGCGTCAACCCCCTCCGAGTGTTGCTGTTTCCTCTGATGACTTATATCCACACTTATTGTTATATCAGATACATATTTAAAAAAATGTTCATCTAAAGGGAATATATATCTGCTCTCTTTGACCGTAATATAGTATTTTATAACTTTCCAAGGTTCATGTTCAAGCTCGTGCTTTGTTTATGTACAGTAAATTTACAGTTTGCACCATTCTCCTGCAGTTTATACTGTTAATGTCAATCTGAATACTTGTGACCAGCGTCCTCATATCTTAGACGTGGACCGTGTGAGACAAGCAGTAGAGTAGTAGATATAATGATAGTCCGAGACCAAGTCCAACAAAAGCCTCTGCAAAGCTTTATTTCACAAATAAAGCTTTTGTCAGACCCTTAGATCTCGCCCCAGTATAACTACTACTTTTGAACCCCCAGTTAACTTCCCGGCCCCACGTGGCACTACTGTGCCGCTATGTCGCGTTGACCTCGATGAAACAGTTTAATGTGAATCGCCTATGATCTCTTTAGTGTTCGTAATAAAGGCTTGCTGGGCTTTTCGTACCCCCTGTTCTATGTACTTTTTTTTCTCGTCTTCGCTGACAGCAGACTTACGAGACTTGGCCCGGATTTCTTGTTTCATCTTACGGTACTTGTCGAGTTCAGAGAGGATTGAACGAAATTCCTCCTCTGAGATCTTACTGTCAGTGAGTGCCGTGGAAATACGCTCACTTACCGTGTTCAGCTTTGCTTCGGCCAGATCCCTGATCTCGTCGTGTTTCAACGCTTTACGGTGCAGTCTGCGGGATACAAACTTAAACACCAACCCTGCCACCCCTACAACCCCAGCTGTTATTTCAATGCCTAGCACTATAAGTGCGGCCACGATGGTGGCTAACAACCCAACATCTGCCCCCTTAGTCCCATGCTGGTTGCCATAAGGGCAGTATCAGTCCCGTCCACGATATTGAAAGCTCTATGGTACTTCTTATATAGTGCTTTCCGCGTGTCGCGGTCTTGTTCTAGTTGGCGTTTTACATCACATAACTGTCTCAAGCGGAATCCGTCTACGGTTTCCAGTGTCTTCGCTACTTCCTCTACGACTGGGTACAGCCCCATTCTGTGTGCATATAATATATCTTATGGGATATTTTTTAATTGGGCTTCAGTTAATAGCCGATCAATGTACTTGAGGCTTATAAGGCTTAGATTCTCGTATGTGGAGATACGGGAAGGATCAATAGGTAACTTCTGGTCTATATCAACATGTGAGCAGTTTACTAAGGGGGTAGTAATCCCAGTGGGAGGTCCCCCAATCGTATAATGATACGGCAAGGTAGGGGGCTTGGTATTAGGGGGTCATCCCAACGTATTGTCACCCCAGGTAAAAGTTGCAGGTTTGGGGATGGCCCCAGGTCTGAATCATCAAACTTACCCTTGTAAGCGACTTCTATGATGAGTGTGGAGCCTGGGGCCATAGCCCTAAACCCTGCTATGGCATCGGGGCGGTTGGCTATTAACTGCGACCACCTGGATGAAACTAACATGTTGCCCCACGAGTAATATGGTATTTTAGAAACTATCATCCTTGTCACGAGTTGGAATGAAAGACGTGAGCAAGATACCGTTGTTCCTAATTTCGGAGACATAGCCATCTTTGTCTAATGAGATATATGGTGCGGTGAGGGTCACGTTGATCAACCATTTGGGTTCTTTTAAGTCTACCAGGGACTGCCGTATGTACACACCGTGTTTAAAGAGTAGGACGTACGGGACGTTTCCCCCACCAGACTGATCGAATCCCTCTATGCCTCCTAGGTCCCCGAGTGTGGGTTTGGGTAGATGATCGGCTATTGTCGCCCGCCTATACACGTTATCTTTTAGGTGTAGGACGTACAAGGCGTCTTCCTCGCCAGGCTGATCGAATCCCTCCGTGTCTCCTAGATCGTTCAGTGTGACGTTGGGCCGATGATGATTGGCCATTGCTATAATACTATTACGAGATAGTTTCCAATTGTTTTTCTGATAATTTCTCAGGGGCGCACTTCAACCCCATGAAGTGTATGTTGTTGGGTAGGAAGATCTTGGTGAGTGATATCGTGTCTTCCACGGCCACGGTGACCCCCTGCAGACTGGTGTGGGAGTCGGCACCCACCCGCACGTAAACAGTGCAAACCTGATACTGGTGCCGCTTCACCCACCCGAGTTTGACCCCCTTCACGATTTCGACTTCATCCTGCGATGGTTCCCCTAGGTAGACTTTGATGACCAGAGTGGAGTTCGCCAGTAGACTCTCCAGGATGTTGACCACGCCTTCGAATTCAGACACCAACTGCAATGTCACGTTTTGCACTCCCGGTTTACTTGATAGTATGTGGGCTGCCATACTGGCGGCTGGGCTGATGACTACGCTACGTCTCTGAGCCGGGACGTAAGCCACGAGCAGGGTTCCGTTGTTCACGACTTTGTTTAGGTAGTTGTCTTTGTTCTCCGTGAACACGTAGGGGGAGCCGAGCCTAATTGAGAAACCAGTCGCGGGTAACAACACCCACTTGTCATCGTCGGTGAAGACGAGCGTATATGGCTTGTTTCGAGCGACGGTAGTGCTCTCAATATCTTCTATGTCAAACAGTTTGCCCCCGAACAATGGGTATACCATCAATTTATCATCACCGGTGCTGACTAGGGCGTACCGAGTGTTGACGACCGCTCTTGAGGTATCTACTATATCACCTAGGGTTCCACCGGAGGGGACTTCAACGCGTTTGTAAATGTTGTTTTTCAGTTGCAAGGCGTACAATTTACCATCTACTCCAGGGTCATCGAATCCGCGTGTGTCCCCGAGGTCGGAGATCCCCACATTGATACATTTTTTCAACTTCATTCCGGGGCCTTGTGCGCTAGTCATTTTATGTGCAGCGTTATGCTGAGGTACCCTATATTCACAGGATTATGATTTATATCTAACACCGATATTATCAGCTCTGGGATGTTGCCCCGAGTTAACCTCTTATACTGCCGCGGTGAAAACGACTCGGTTCTGCCGTCGTTGTATTTCTCCGTTTTCACCGGTTCTGCTCTCAGTATCGTGGAAGGGTGACCACCTTGAATGTTGTCCGTTGTGCTCAACTGACCGAGATGAATGCACAGCTCTCGGTACGGTACTAGGTCAGGTAACTTCGTGCCTGTGACGGTAGTTGTGGGTTTTATCTCGTCCGGCGGCATACCGAGTGTCCTCGCCAATGGTCGGCCGAGCCTCAAGGGGTTTCTTCCGTTGTTGATTAACACCACTGTGCCGTTTGAGTCGTTCATCTTGAGTTCGGCTCCCAAGGGTTTGAAGACCTCATCGCTTAGCGAGCACGCGCTGTAGTAGCCGTCAGTTATCTGGTTGCGGGCGCCACTGACGAACAGCTTGTTGTTGTTGACGTTGATGTTAGTCCATCGCGGTAGGTAGGTGATATCGCAGAGTGCGACTTCGAGTTGACCCGACGTGTTATCGATCGCGTGCATCAGCTGAACGGACTCGCCGCTCGTTATTCCTAGAAGTGTTATGTACATGTTAGAGTATATA